GTGGATGGAGTTGGTGGTCACGGACTGCGCTCCAGCACACCAGGCCAGTGTGTAGAGCCAAGGCTGGCTGATCACATACAGGTTAGTGCTGATGTTCACTGACTGGTACTTTCTGGGGAGAGAGACAGAGAGAGAGAGATGCAGTTTAGCATGCCAAGCCTTCTCTGACAAAGAGACATCGCCTGGATGGGAGCGCATGCTGCTCTGAAACCTGTCAGCATTGATCGGGCTTTTCCAAATGTGCAAGCTGCCAATTCCATCTGCACTAATGCACGCTCATACCAACAAAGACGTGGGCTTCTGAGGGATTAACTTTTCTACACATTTGCAGCCTTAAATTTAATGAAAGACTGTTACTGATGAAAAAGAAAGCTGTTAAGTTTAACTCTGGTAATCATACATTATACTGCAGTTTTTCCAGTGAGTCAGCGGCCTGTAAAAGACTCGTGTAAAAGTTTGACCACATGCTTTCTGCTCTGATTAAAGCCTATCAGGCAATAACAGTATGACTCATTCCACCGTCACCTCTAGTTGGTGACAAATAACAGTTGAAACGTTTTCATGAAAATGAATCAGTTGTAACAGTGGAAGATTATTTCAGTCGCCTGTGTAAGTTGTGTTGAAAACTGTCTGTGAGTCACTCCACCATCTTTCTTTCCAGATTGTTCTCCCACAGCTACTGTTAATGTACAACTACCTCCCTCTCTTATTCTCCTCTCAGCTGGACCCGTCTGTACCACCTCCACTGCTTCCTTCACGCCTCGACTGAACAAATTCCTCTTTATCCACACTTTCCTCTCCTCACTTCGGCGATGAGCATCTCTCACACCTGCCCTTTATCTCCCTCTCACTTCCCTGAGGTTGTTCTACAAGCACCGAAATGGAGTCACTGAGGAAGCTGCGTCCATCTGTATCTGGGTTACATAACTGCACACATGCACAAACACAAGAGACCAATTCAAAATGTCAAGTTTCTCTCAGTTGGTATAAATAGGGTTGTTTTGCCACTAGATGGATGTGATTGCATAATTGAATGTTTGAACTATGTGCAGGCCATTATATCTGTTGCTGTTTTTCCTAGTCTGAACTTACACACTTGTACATCCTTCATGCATGAATAGTTTTTCTGTGGTGCATAAAAAGAAGAAACACAGAGCAGAACTTCCATCACCAGGACGGTGGAGATGGAGCTCATCGGGTCAGGCAAAACCTGAAGAAGCAGCTGATTGTGTTGCTGTTTGTTTGTCACAAAGATGACAGCAAACACATTTAAATAAATGCTATTATTTATATCTGCTTGATTAGAATTAAACTCACAATTAAAAGTGTGTTGGTTAATATTTGTTTTATCTTTAATGTGTTGTTTGAGTAATTTATGTAAGTTAAAATGACAATTCAAATAATTAACAGCCCTAGTATTGGTTAATAATTCAGACGTTTCAGCATGTGGCCTCTCCTGACACAAATACAACCTAAATCTGAAGAACCTCTGAAATAATTACCGCTGCAGTGATTAACAATCTTTAATTAAAACTGCCTAAGACACGTTCAATGTATGCCGTTTATCAGCTCTGTACCGGATCTGTTGCTGAGACATGGTGCTGTAGTGCAGGTTCAGTCTGGTGATGTGTCCATCTGTCAGCTCCTGGATAGAAGCCTTTTCTCCAGAGGTCTGCTGCAGGTGTGGGTCCACAGCCTGGACCTGGTCCCTGTCTTCAGATGGCAGCCACAGGACCTACAGCCACACATAACACAGTGAGCACACGCAAACAACACCAGGAAAAATTAACAATAGGAAAACTAAATGCACTGATTGTGTTTGCAGAACAGCACTAGACGGAAACCAAAAATATCCCCATTAAACCAATTTAACGTTATCTTTAAATCAAAGTGCAGATACATTAATCCTGATCAGTTACCTGCGAGGAGTTGATGTGGGCCTGTACCACCTGTAGAGTGGTGTTGATGTATGACTGACTGTATGGGTGTCCAAGCGGTGGCCTGCGCAGGTCGAACAGTACGAGTCTGCCACTTCGGGCCGCTACCTCCAGGAACTGGACCAGTGAGGGAATAGACTGGTTCTGGGCCTGGGAGCGGTCTGCTGCAGAGAGGGATGACACGGTGCCAAACGGATCCCTCTGCAAGTGAGAAGCAGAGTGAGAGAAAACAAATCAGGTTGAATTTCACCTGCTCTTAACTTAGAGGGACATTTTCTGTCTTTTTCTTTGGCTTAGTTGTTTATCTGTCACTGCCAGCAGGAAATCAAACAACATTTGTGAATTCTAAATATCTGTAGGAATGTGTTTCTTCAGTAGTTTCTATACAGATGATGCATTTCTAAGCCAACAACATGCTGCTGTTGCTCTGTGTTGAGCTGGGTGCGTGTTGGTCATACCGATAAGAACCAATCACCAGCGTTCAACTGCTGCAGCTCGGTCCAAGTGAACATGGAGGCGTCGAGGTGTGTCCTGTTTGGGAAAACCTCTGCGATGTTAGTGGTCCTCTTCAGGGTGGCGTCGTGCATCAGGAAGGGAACGCCATCAAAACTACAGACAGGAAGAAATATTCAGTGAGTCACAACACGAGGATTCAAGAAGGAAAAGTAGGACTCCAAGATGAAGAGGAAGTGAACAGGCAGTAAGGATGACCAGATTCACTGGTCAGCACTGATAATATGACTTCATAACAACAATATGTAGATTTATGACACAAACTGAACCCCAGAATCTGCCCTACAGACTTCCAAGTTTCATTTATTGAGCTTCAATCCTCTTTCACAAATCTGTTGATGTGGCTGAAGGAATAAAAAAGAAATCGCTGCACTCCTACCAGAAAGCTCACCTTATGAAAGACATTATATAGTGTAGTTACACAACAGTAGCCCAGTATCATGCACAACATAGAAATACAACTCATTCTTATGAAAGCACCAGACTCAACAGCACTGGATTAAGCTAACCCGCTGATGCTGAGCCATGCAGTGCTGCTGATCCTCCTGCTTTCAGGTTGTAAAACGGCGCTAAACGTTTGGTTGTAGGCTCACGGGAGTGCTCACCGCTAATTGGATTAGCATGGCAGTAATCAGCTCAGCAATGAGAGGAGCGTGCTAGCATCTGATCTGTATAATTCAAGAGACTCGGCTGTAGTTCACTGATCACCTGATCATTTTACCATTAAGGAAACGCCCAGAGGTAACAGTCAGTGTCAAAGGATGCACCGATTGCAGTCATGAGTTTTTGTAATCCTGTAATGTGAGGCTGGCTTTAGATGAACAATCTTTTCGTGCCATCTGCAGTCTGGATTTTAAGTTACATGCCAGGTTCCAAACTTTCACACTTTTGGTGTGAGACACACTTATTCACTGATTCTTCCCATTGTCAGCAAACAAATAACCCCCCAAATCATCCTCTGAGATAAATAAAGCATATGCCAGCATATATGACGATGCATGCAGAAACTGGGGACTGATGAGAACACACCCTGTCAGAGGTTATAGGTGGATGCTGGGGTGGTGGAGGGGTTGACGTAGCAGTAGTACTGACATATTAGAGTGAAAGATGGGAAATTTGCAGCTTAACCCTCCTGTTATGTTGCGGGTCAGATTGACCCAGAACAGAAGAGATGTCACATGTCATCTGCATCACTACAGAAAATGAAAAAAATCTAAATTATAAAAGAAAATTGTAAAATTAAATTAACTGGGTTAATTTGCCCCGGGTCAAATTAACCCAGGAGCATAATTGCTGCTCCTGGAAACCAACATAACAGGAGGGTTAAGAAAGAAAGACTGTTACGCTTGTTATCGGCGTCCAATACGACGCAACTCAAGTGGTGCATCTGAACTAGCTTGAACCAGCAGTTATCCTCAGCACCATCAGACCTGCTGGGACATTTTACTTGAAGTAACTCTGTAACACTGAGACTGGTCCTTGTAACCTGGAAGTCAAGTTTATAATGAATTTTGTAGATTAAATTCAAAATCTATCTGTATTTACAGCAGTGACATTACTGTGTGCAATTCACATGCTCCATAAATAAAAGAGTGAGATAAAAATAAATCAGTAGGATGACACACCTGATGGTGACATCAGTCTCCAGTCCTTCTCCTCCAGCTTCCACTGCCTTCTCAAAAGACATCACAGTGTTCTCCGGAGCGAGCTACAGAAAAACAAGCAACAATTTCAGAAGGGATTGTTGGAATGGAATTCCATGCTATGTTTTATATTAACTAAAATGCCATATAACCATAAAGTGCAGTATTAAGTGGACACGGCCCTGAAAATAAAGGCATTAGACTAAGTGTCCTTGGGGGTAGAAAGCTGTAGACTCTTGCTCACGCTTGCCTGGGAGAAAGTAGATAACAGGGGACCATCTTCTAGTGGAAAGTTACTGAAACACTGTTGTTTAGACTAGAGAGGGACCAGCAGATTGATTGTTTGATTGTCATTGATTGTTTATTCCGAGATGAAAAAGTCGAAGGGGAGATTACACTGTTTTATGATGCATGATTTTGGTGATTTATAAGAAATACTGTTTGCAGAGAATCATGGCCTTATTTGTCTGATTAGAAAGAACAAAACATACTGCACAGGAAGCCAAGGTCATAACTTAGGCTCACTGAGAGAGAAAGACTGTGAATGCTTAGTTTGGAAGGAGCCGAATCTATAAGAATGTGAGAAACGGTCAGACACTTCGAGATTTTGCCGGACACCCTCCTGTGCAAATCTCCCGTCCGGACGTTTATGCCTAAAGGGTTGTATGGTATAAAGAGATTGTTGATTGAGCATTAAACACCAAGTGTTGTTCTTCTTTCAGCCCAAAGATCAAAGAATTGGGGTATTTAACCATCGCCCTGATCAGACATATTCTAACAGGGACTGCACACAGGATGCTGTAGAAGCAAAATCAGTTTCCAAAACGTCAATCTGGATATCAGCCTGTTTTCTTCTCCTCATTACATCGTGAGCTTTAGAGTATCTGCTGAGCTACTGGGCACAACTTAATATAAGCTTTTTATATTTATTTCTGATCTACAACAAGCAGCACAACTCTTAGAACTGTCACAGCTGACATTAACTTAGATGGAAACCTACTTCCACGACAGAGTTTACCTCCTATGGTGTCAATATAAGCTCAGACGCATGTTGAATAACAAATATCCACTTTCCCTGCTGCCACCTGCATGAACATTACAGCCAACAGGTGGATTTTTCCATTTCATAGCTAGCCAAACAACGAGGAAACACTGACTGTTTAGGAGACACAGAGTGAAAGTGGACAGTATATCTTTGGTTTCTTAACATGAAACTCTTTGCTGTAGCCAGGGGGAGTACCAAAGTGACTCCCCTTAGACTTGTTAGTTTTAATTAAGAGGTTCACTGGTTTTCTAATATAATGTAAGTCTATGAGCCGCAGCCAACCCACCAACCTGATGACGTCACGTTCGGTTGTAAAAAAGTCAAGCGCTTCTTTCTTAAACCTAGCTTCACAGACATCTATGTAAGCTTGTGAGAGAAGGGCTTCATGGTGCAAATTAATCTTTATACACGTGGTGTTTAATGTCCACTTTAACTCCGAGTGGATATTTTTTAAATGACTTTATTTTAGGGCAAAGTCAAAAAACTGTTTGGCAGTTTATTTTTTAAACCCCCCATAAGTAGGATGGCAAAGGGTCCAATTTGTCCCAGTGGATGGAAATGCAAGGTGTGAAACTGCAGCGTGGATCATTGTTTTCTATTTTTACATAACTGCACTGCGATTCTTGGTGTGATGATGTCAGCGTTATGATGCGTACATTACCCAAAGGGAGGCTAATCCACAATCACACAAGTTAAACTTGTTTGTTTAGGAATAAACAAAATCAGATCAGATGATCACGGTTTAATTCAGCCTCACCATTGGAGCTCCTCTGTGCCCAATGAGAGTAGGCGCAGGTCCCAGAGTTCCCGCCTCTTTGATGCAGGGCGAGTACATTCCCAGAGGAACCAAGTAGAGCGAGAACAGCACGGACAGAAAGAGTCCCAAGACGGCCACCTGACGGACTAAATGCCAAAAAAATAAATAAAAGGTCATGAAACAGGACCGTACCACTGCATACTACTGTCCAAATATTCTGCACATAAAATACACGCATTCTGCTGTAATTTGTGCAATTCACATGTAAACAAATCCTAATACTAACAAGCATTAAACTTCACAGTTACAGGAGAGCTATGCAGTAGAATCTGGAACTTAATCAGGATAATATGGAGTAAATCTTTCTTGATAGGATCAACATAGTGCTTAACAACAGCAGCCATATGGGCAACACAGGGAAGTCTGGACAGAGAGCAAATCCAAAGACCTGAATTGTAGCCTCTTAAATACAGAGAATAACAATAAGACTATTCTATGAGTTTTTATAGTAACTTCATCCAAGACTGTGTATGGTTTAAACTTTACAACAGGCAGAATAGCATTTTTTATTTCTTCCCTGATGAATAAAAGATATCTTACCCCACTCATCACCCCACCCTCTGAATCCACCCCGAACACCATGTTACCCCAGAATTCGTCTGTTCGACACAGCAAGCTGACAAATAAAGCACCAGAGGTCAGCAGGATTAAGATTTTAATGAGGGGTAAAGTTGCCTCCAACTAGGCTGAAACAAATCACTCCACGTCTTCACTAATAAACGAGGCTCTGAGTTTGTTTCATTTAGAGAAATTCTGCAGGGAGCACCTCTGTTTATTCTGTGCAGGTCAAATTAAAAGAACTATTTAGACAGTTGCAGCAAAAACAATAAATCTGTAACTGTGTGAGGACTGCCTGTATTTAATATATCAATTTATTAGTATCAAGAATATCACTTATTATTGAGTCAGGTTAATAAGGGAAAGAAAATATTTAAAAAAAATCTTTGGTTATACATTACTGTGCACAAATCTTGAGTGACCTCACATTTCTTTATAATTTGCTAGGAAGATGGAAATGAGTGCAGCCACACATGTAGAAAGCAGAGTTTGCACAATTCTAAGAAGCTTCAATATTTGGTATGGCTGCATTTATAAAGCCCGAGCCCACTCTGGTAGCTTTCTTCTAGTTTAAGTAGTTTTCAGAGACTTCAGGAGACTTGGCTCAACTGAAGAACAAATGCATCTCTCTGTGTCAAGTCTCTGATGGTTTTTCCCCCATTTCTTCATCTGCTGCTGATAGTTTTTAAGCTTTAAAGACCTACCACCTCTTTTGCCCTCCATTTGTCCAGTGTCCTCAACCATACCGAGATATGCTACATTTTCAGCTAATGCCTCTTTGCCACACCGTGTTGCCTTGTGCATGTTTTTTGTACATTAAACTAAAAAAAGGGAACATGTTGTGTTTTTTAGGACCCGCTGCTAATAAGAAAGTGCCTAAAAATTCAATTTAAAATGTGACCTTTCTGAGTTGTCAGTTATGTGTTGATCATCAAATTAGTAAAATATATAATTAAAATGTTGCACAAAATCCTCACACCAGTACTGCTACTCCATGTCTTTCATTAGAGCATCAAAAAGCAGAACAAAGGTTTGGCATTTTGCACAGGAACAGGATTAATGCCCCGAGCAAGACAGCGTCGGCAAGCCCTGCTGTGGCCTCTATGTGTATATATATCTACGCACGAGAGCTATGACTACTGCTGAGTCATTTGACCAAGGAAGGAAGGCCAATTTTACACTTCCCTGCTACAGATAAAAGCCAGATTTAAGTGGGACTTTTTGTGGTCATTGTGGCATTAATAGAGAGAGAAATTCTGCCCTTTTGGGAAATGTCAACAGGTGCTCCTTTGTCAGCCTCCCACTAAAGAGTGTCAGCATGACTAAGCACAGACACTCCTACTGCTGCACCGTCTGTCTCCTCTTTGAACAACCTGCCCAAAACCATCAGCAACTGTTACAAACATCGTCAAAATAGAGGACAGACATTTTGCTTTTCTTTCACAGGAACAATCCTGTGAATCCTTACCAATGTTTAAACCAATCCTAAATTAAATAAAGTCATAGATTTAACCGAGTATAATAAACGCACATAGCTTCAAAGTCTGGATTATTTTCTAATGACCAACAGGAGGCAATGACTATGGGACATCCAGTTTCCTGATAAGTTGATGGGCTTAATCGCCAATAATGGCTCATTTTACAGGTTTTAATAGCCTTAATAGTTCTCCCAGTATCCAGTTTAACTTTGTCCAGATGTTTATCTCAAAACATTAAAGAGGACTAAGCCATATTACACAATCTGCTTCTGCTAGCACAGACCCCTGACACGAGTCTGCATCCTTCTGCCCGCTAAATCACCATAGCAACAAGAGAAAGTACCAACAGAGAGAAAAGAGAGTGAAGAGACACGGAGGTCAAAGCCATTCAGCAGAGAGGAAAGGACGTGACACAAGACAGAAAGCAACCTGAAGACAGGTTAAAAGAAAGAGATGGCAGCTAAAGGGGCAGAGCTGGCAGGGCATGAGATCAGAATGACCTCGAGACCAATAAAAACAGACAGTTTGCAGGACAATTACTCAAATGAAAACCCTTTTGTGCCTAACGGTGGCTGGAGGGAGATCTACAGGTTGATAAGCTTTGACAGAATTTGCTCAGGAGTACAACTTTTGCAGCCAAAAAGCCAATAAAGTAATTCCCTAAGATCCTTCAGCCTTTTTTCTCTTTCAGTTACTGTACTGATAGGCTGCATATACCTATTTCTATTCTTCTCTCTTTCCCAACTATCTGATACTCCGGCTTTTAAAAGAGAACAGGTTCGAAACTGAGACAAAAATGTGCTGTTTGTTCCCTTTATTATAATAAAAGATAAAAACATAGTTTTTTTTAAGGGTGTAGTTATGGTGTAGCATTATCAAATATTTAACTACTTTTCATGTGATTTTTATTCACAAGTTCTTCCATGTAGATCTACATACGAGATATGATTAAAAACCTATAAAATCAAGCATATAAAAACGGAATCAGATGCTTAAGAAAGGTTCATCAGTAAGTGTTGCAACTGCACAACCACCCACAGTATGAAAGACATGGACAAAGACATCACCCAGGTTCTGTTTTAAAGCATCGACCTGAGTGTTTGCACTGTCCTCATGTTGGTGTTTAAAAATCAGATATGACGAGGGAATGGAAGTCCCCCACTCCTCCTTCCTTTCAGTTGTGGGTAACAGACATGGTGTCCATAATACAAATGGAAAAGTTCAGCAAAGACTCAAAAGATTCTCTTCTGAGTGTCTGGAACACTTTGCGAAGGCCAGATTGGACTAAACTGGACCCAGATTTGTAAACTCTCATCAACTCCAGCTTTTGGTACTCTATCCTGTGGTGTTCTGTGAAGTGCATGTTTGCTTGAATTAATTGTTTTTTCTAGAACACATCTGAGCCTGTCTGTTTTTGTTTGTTTTGGGATTTGTGTTGGTTTATATTTTGAAAATTTGAAATAAAATAACAAAAATATCAAATCAAATATGATGAACTTCAGCAGATCAGACTGAGAAACTGAAGACACTGCAAGCTCCAGGAGTGATCTTAGGACGGCCAAGTCATTAGTCAGTGACTCAAGTGATGAATGAATAAATTACTAAATTAACTTCATGCTTTATTCAGTTTGACCTGAAACTTTGTAAAGTAACGAACACCCGAAGTCTTTTCACAACCAGAGGAGTCGCCCCGTGCTGGCCATTAAAAAGATGGCAGATTTGAGACATTTCCATTTCCAACCCTAAGAAGGTTGAACCCATGTTTTACACCGTCTATGCCCCACCCGACTTTCAGTGTTATTTTTAAAGTGCAAAAATCACATTCCTTACCTTTCTTGTTCATGCGAAAGAAATGTAATGCTATTGGCCAGGAAAGAATCGCCATCAATGACACTGCAGCCACATGTAGGTAAGGTGCTGTGACCTAAATATAAAAAGAAAGCGACAGCACGTAATAAACATAACTGTACAAATCTCTCTGCTAATATTTATGACTACAATAACTGTACAATGTTTAATAAACTGTGGTTAATTATTTGAAAAAACAAAACCAAAAAATGAATCACTCCTTGCTGTGATTGGCTGGTGTGCCTCACCTGCAGAGACAGGAGGAGAGTCTTCCATTCTTTGCTCCACAGGTCAGAGAGGATGGCGGTGGCTGTGACGGAGAACGCCAGCGTCACCACAATACCAGACTGACAAAGAGAGGAAGACGAGAAAATACAACGTATGTGAATGCACACCAACGGAGACCTGAAAAACCAACAAACAGTCTTTTTACATTTCTGTATTTATACCTTGTGGCTCCAGTGAAGGTACAACCTCTGGCCCTCAGAAAGCAAACACACCGCCAGCACCTAAACAACAGGTGCAGAACAGGCTTATTAGTGTCAGACATTAATATTCTTAATATCCAATATCTATTAATATTAGCATTTTATAAAGCTGATTAAAGCAACCATCTGTTAAACCTTTAACTTCAAGAACTTTAAAAAAAAAAAAATCACATTTATTTTGTCCTGATTTTTTTCTTATTATTAAATTTCTTTCATGTGTCCAATAAAAACATACAGATTTGATCAAAGCCAATCTTCAACACAGAAAGTCAACTGTTAATACAGATTTTTCTTTCACATGTTTTATATAAAAGTCTTACATAAGTTTGTCACTCTAGAGAAGAAGACAAGCTCCTAAATGTCAAACGACCTGCTGATAGAGCCCGAGGCACAGTGCACACTTGTGTCTAATAAAACGGTTTGAAGAACTCCAGTTAAAGTGAGAAAAACAAACAGGTAATCTGTCATATTTCAGTGCTTTGCTGTTATTACATAACTGCAGGAGGGCACAGGTTGGTAACAGGAGAGCAAACAAACAGTCAAGTTGGTCCCAATAAGGTGTTGCTGAAAACTTGCTGAACTTTAATAAGAACATTAATGTAGCTGTAATACAAAGGTTTACATGGCAGCTCTGGAGAATTAAAGTGACAACCACTATTTTCTTTCTTTTTTTAAAATTGGTTTTCTATTACATTTCCAGGTTAAAGACGGGTTGAAATCTGAAATCGGTGTTCATACCAATAGCAGAGCGATGTATGTGAAGAGAGCCGCAGCAACAATCAGCAGGACCAGAGACCAGGGGAACCAGAACCCAAGATTCCCAAAGTTAAACCTGAAGATACAAAAGGACAGAAACAAAAGTGTAGCAGCAGCTTCATGTCAGTTTAAAGTGTGCTTCATGGTGTCTTTGGTCAGTTTAATCCACACCAACTCTGAACAAAACATCAAACAGTCATCAACTGTGGACATTTATACCTGTGGACAAAAACTGCAACATTTCTTGGAGACAGTTGTCATGAATCTGTAAGTGATGTGTTTTATGCATATTTTGTGTGTGCAGCACATGTTTAACCAGATAAAGCTGGAACAGAAAAGCTCTTTAAAAGCAGCAACAGTTGTATTTTTTACTTAAACAATGTTTTCTTTGAAACCTAACCAGGTAGGTTTTGTTACAAAAAAATAACCAGTTAATGTAGTATTGTGTTGTATTTTTCAATACAAGTTCAAAGTGTGAAAATCAGTGACGACTGAATGAACTCCCAAGATGTGTGTCTTGCTCATGAATCAGTGCATACGAGTGTAGTTAGACTTATGAACAAATGTTGTGGGAGATTCAAATGCTTTATGACAGTTACAGCTGCTTAATTTGTCTTTTTCTGACTCTGAAAAACGTTTCACTGACGATTGATTTTCAACTTTATTTCCTCCAAACAGCTCTACTCTTATGGCTACATCCCAACTCCATCACATAAAACAATGGATGCACTAAAAATTACAACTAACACTTGATGAGCGGTTGTGAAACTGAAGCGTACAATGCAACCCAGAAATGGAGACGTCTTCAAAGTAAAAGTTGCATCTTTTGTGACATTTTTCTTTCAGCAATAAGAAACAACTTTTACTTTGAAGGCAAACATTCTCAGTTACTAGTTAGCATTTTCTCTACTGCTTGAGTGTTTGCAGACATGTCATCTGTGTTTTTAATGCAAACTATGGGCAAAAGTGACAATCTTCTAGCGACCAAAGCCATTGCAAAGGTTTTTGGTCCAGAACCTTGTTTGGGACTGATTTCACCCAGCAACAGCCAGCAACCTTCAGCAACCATTTGCCAATCAGTTGGAAAATAGAGAGTAAAGGTTTCCTCTCCAGACATATGTGCCTGAGGCAAAACATTAATGTGTGAGCACTTGTCAGTGTTTGTCAGTGTGCTCAGTACGAACCAGTCAAAGTCATTGTAGTCGTTCTGGGCTTCACTCCAGAAATAGAGGAACACAAAACTCAGGAAAAAGGTGAGGATCAGGAGGCCAAAGCTGCCACACTCCACCTGTAAAACACACAGAAGTTCAATCAAACATCCCATTTCTACTCCACAAAAGAAAAAAATCAAATATATATGTATCATACTCCACTAGCTCCTGGTGAAGATGTTAAACAGTTTAAAGGCGAACTCGTTTTCTCGGGGTAAAAAAAAAGGTTTACATTCATATTTGGAGCACAAACTGATACTGAGGACGTATTTTATTGCCAGGTGCAAATAGAACCACTAAATATTAAAACCAGCTGACAGAGCGTATGCACAAACTGATATTTTTTCATAGAAAAAGCAGTTACTGACAGTCGGAGTCAGCAGGCCAGACTGAGGAGAACCAGCTGGGTAATCAATACTCTTTGCACAATCAGCAAACTAACCAACAATCTGCTTGTTGCAGACAGACAGTGTGTGTGTGTGTGTGTGTGTTTGTGTGTGTGTGTGTACCTTGCTGCAGCAGCACTCTCCCGGCTGTGCCCGGGCTCTTTGGTATCGTCTCCATTGGCAGCCGTAGAGGCCAGCCAGGCAGGAGACAAATGGCTGGTGTTCATACCTGATACAGATACAAAAACACTCAGGATGACACTTTCCTAAATACAACATTCAACACATATAATTCATGTTATAAATGAACTGTACTCCTACAATTTTATTACAAATAGACTTTGAGCAACACACTTTACTGTCATTTCTGAGATGTTAAACTGGACATTTATGTTTTTTCTGTCACAGGGGTGAATCTTCATATAGAACGTGGACAAAGCCTACGAGGAGGTAACCTCTGTTATCCAAAGGAACAGGCTTCAGACTGGTCTCTTTGGCCCCCCACCCCAAATCTTGGCCTTCCACCCACCTACTGTTCAAACCTTTGTCTGCCAGAAGGGACAGAAGAGAGTCAGGAAGGACAAGACAGGAGCTAAAAGGGCTCGTCTTTGAAGCATCAAGGCCCAGAAGGTTTGTTTTCAAATGTTTTAAAAAAGGGCTCATGCACAGTAAGGGTCAATGTATATATGTGCCAGATTTAGCTTCACATCTGCAGCCCCTGACAAGTCGATGGCCCTTACAGCATAAAGAGTAAAAGAAAACTAAAAACACAAGAGCATCGACTCAAAAAAGAAAAGCACATAAACGTGAGGATGTACACAGTATTTCAAATCATGACAGCATGTTTAATGATCCTGTGACCACTGTGTTATAATGTGTCCAACTGATATGATGAATAAGCATTATTTTAATTTATGATTCATACAAAGGTACTCCAACATGAAAATACTGAGCTGGAAATGAGCAAAGAAGAGTAGTGCGGGGTGTGAAATAATCTAATCAAAATAATGTTGAGTGAAAACCCAGATTCACTAACATCTAAAATTAATACATCTTTGCATGACAATGTGCTGGTTGCTCGAGATTTTACTGAAATCAACAAACATTTCCTACAGTAAACTCATAGGAAAATAGCACAGTTTAGATGATGCATTCAGGTTATCTTGGTACATAAATAAGCTGTGTGACTCATCCTGTACAGATGGTCATACTTTAGAACGAACAGTCCTCCATGAAAACAGTGTAAAGCTCATCGTGTACAGACAGGATGTTTGAAAAGTTATTTTCTGATACTTTAAAACAAATTAAGTTCAGCCCTGAGGAACCAACGACAATTAAAATGGTCTAAATTCTAGATTTGAAATCAGGGTGTATTTGGTTTTATTGAATGCCTCTTTGTACCAGTGTGTAAAAATAATTCAGGACACTCCATTCAAGCTACTTTAGGCTAACCCTGTCTGCTGTTTACATTTTCTGGATGCGTTTTATTTTTAACTTTGCAGGCTCTGTTAAACCCTCATAAAAAGTGCAGCTGTAACAAAATCTGCTGCTGAGGTTGCCTTGCCTCTCTTTCTTCATCTCTAAACTGCTCAGCTTGAGCCGTCTCTCTGATGTACTCTAACGTTATCCTGGTCACTCCCAATGAAAATCTTAACATATTCAGCCTCTCCAGGGCTCGCAAAATCGCTAGCCCCGGGACGTCGGGCTGGTGATTTTAATACCATCTTGTAAACCTTCCCATTCACACTTGCTGCTATTCCTGTGTCAAAAATTGCCTCTAACATGTGTCCCCACCATGTCTCCACCCTGCCTGTTCGCCTTACTTGTTTACTGTCAGTTGCTCTGCATGGTTGACCCAAGCTATTTAAACTCATCTTCCTTCACCATCTCTGCTCCGCGCATCTTCACTTTTCCATCTGTCTCCTTCTCATTTAAACATCTTCTCCCCAGCGTCTCTCCTGTGCACACCTCCACCTCTCCAGGCTCTCTTCCACCTGATCTCTGCAAACATCACATTTCAGAGACCTGACCCCATCGGTCAGCCTGTCCATCACCACTGCAACAAGAAGAAGTTCAGTCTATCTCTCACCCCCTGATGTAATCTCACCCCCTACTATGAACCCATCTGCACACCTCACCACTGTCCTCATACATGTCCTGCATCACCCTCACACACTTCTCTGCCCTAACTTTTTCCATGACTTCCTCATGAAGTCCCACAGTTCATCTCTTGGCTTCCATTATATGCTTTCTCTAAATCCACCGGACCTTGGTAAATAATGATTAGAAGCTATATTAACTTACAATGTTTCCTTCAAGATCAAGGAAAGATGACTAAGAAAAAAGAGGTCAGAGGCCATTTTTTGGACTATTCAACTACAGTCTGTATGTACCACAGTGAGTGTAATGGTGATGGTGTTTTGTACCTTTGCAGCAGCTGCCGCCGCACCACCTTTAGCTTCCCCAGCTTCAGTCTGGTCACGGGCATACAGTCAGCCACAGCCCAGCATCACAGAGAGAGACAGAAAAGGACAGAAGACATGTAGGACAGCGAGAGGGGGAAAGCTGGATTTTTGGTCACCAAACTCTTTACCTAACGGGGAGAAAAGAAAGCTCAATTTAAAATGTATTCACAGGAAAAGTAGACTCAGCAAGACAGAGCGTGTGAGAGTGTCCTGGTTTCTTTACTGTGACCTGCTTAAAGTAACCCAGAAGATGCAGATCAGCTCACAGAAATACACACTGACCTGTATTTGATCTACAGCTCAAACATGTGATTTATGATAATCAAATGTCCTACATGCTCAGCTAATCTATCACGCCACATCTGGAGCAGAACGACTGAACTACACCCACAGAAGAAGAACAAGTCTCTCTCTCTCCATCTACCCCTAAAGACAGAGTAATGGCAGCAATTTTTCAGGGGGATTGGAGTAGCATCGCTGTAAAGCTGCACCTCGTTCACAGTCACGAGCTGTGAGTAGCAACCAAAAAGAATGAAGTGACAGACACAAGCATCCAAAACGAGTTTCCTCAGCCTTAATATATAAACACAAGAATGGACTCACTTACTTCACACTGCAAGCTGTTATTTCACATGACATTACTTCAAGTTACTAGAAGTCGCTTCCTGCATCACTTCTGTGTGGACAGCCCTCCACAGATAGCTGAGGAGTTTGGAGCAGAGACATTGCTCCTTCATCTCAAATAGAGCCAGGTGAGGTGGTTCATATGTCTTATAAGGGTGATTGTTGACACCTGCCTTTGGAGGTTTTCTGGGCACCCAAAAGTGGCAGGAAACCCGATGTAAACCTCGTTCGATAGATTAAATATGGCATCAAAGTGCAGCTGGGATTTCCCAGAAGAAAATGTTTTGTGGTGGAGGACATCTAGAAAATCCCATTTTACCTGGTGATACTGCAGCTCTAATGTGGACATAATTGATGGATTTATTTAAAAATTAGATTTGTTCCTGGATCTGATAAGACAGCTTCTTCCACAATAATGAAAACAGTAGCTCAAGAAATTTACAACCAGGTTTGAAATTCCTGATGTGTAATTCATTTCAGCCAAAACTATTCTGCTCTATACCACACAGTGATGTGCAGTAAGCACTGAGCAACCCTCCATTTCTTTACATTTTGCTTGCAAAATCGAAATAAGAATGAAAATGAAATAAGATGACAATACTTTATTAAAACGTGCTAACATAAGCAATATATTTTACACTATATACATATCCCCATCTTAAAATGTGCACAGTTCAGTGTGTCGTTTGTCATTTCCATTTTAATTTTTGTGACTGAAGTCTGTTACTAGACGACCAGCAAACTTATCGCACAGCTCCCATGGCAACTGTGACATCAGATATTATTACTGCAGTGAAGAGGATGATGGAAGGTGGGGCAAACAAGAAAGGACCAGATGGAGTGATAAAGGGGAGAGTGAGGAAATGACAGGGTGAAAGTGTGAGAGGGAAACCACGATTAGGCGTCATCAAAGCTGTTATGTACAGAACATAAAAGCCCACAGAGTCCTCTGTCCCACACTCAGTGAATTGTGCAGTTCACAGTGAGCACATAGTATATTCAGAGAGACGCGGAATATAAAAACAGGAAATGTAAATATTAGGTGAGGGAGTCAGCACCCACATGCTGTCATTCAAGCAAAACCTGAGAAACTGAATGTCTATTGTGCTGGAAATTTCCTGTAAACAACAACATCTGCCTGCAGCCAGGCTGAATATACAAGTGCTAAAAATCAGAGGAGTTACTAACTGGAAAAAAAAAAAAGCAGTGCAGTGAGAGAAACATGTGGATAAAGTGTGGAAGGTCTGACTGGTAGAATAAAGATTTCAGCAAATAGCACAGCTACACTGCTCAGCCACAACCTCTAAACAAGCAACTTACAGAAGACACAGACGAGCTTAAGAGCCTAGAACTACTAAATGGTTTTGGCCATTATTCATCAACTGTCCGGGGAGCACATGTTTTATGACTCATTCATTTATAAGTGTGGTTGCCTTAACTGGGAGGTTTGTGCCAACGCAGGAAATCCATGCAACACGTGTACTAATGATTAAACGTGTATGTGTGGAACTGCAGAACTTTAGACATCACTTTCAAATGACCCTTTTTGTACCATCTTTTATTAGTTTTAGTTTAGTTGTTTTAAAGTGTGGTAAATGGGCTGGTTCTTATATAGCACTCACAGTGCTTTATATCATTTCACACCCATTCATACAAGCACTTTTTTCTTTGCTTTTTTACTTAAGTGCTTTCTATCTAACATTAACACACATTCATACTCTGACGGATGTATCGGAGGACAACTTGGGGTTTGTAACTTGCTCAAGAATATTTGACATGCAGACTGAAGCAGCCAGGGATCGGACCTCCAACCTGAGTAATCAATGACTTGTGAGCTTTGTGTCACAGCCAATGGGAGTAGTAATAAAAAGTATAAATAAATATACAACTAATCGTGGCTATATATAATATACAGATATAATCACGAAGAATTTGTATTTCTTTAGTTTCCTTCTGTATGGACAGTTTTTCACAAGGCAATGCAAAGACACCCGAACTGTAAAAGGTCTACAGGCACCACAATGGATTCACACCAGCAGCTGTTTATCTGGACCGGCTTACTGCTAACAGTTAAATTGCAGAAGGATTAATTGGTATTTTAGTCCACAGACTGTCTCCCTTCACTCTGCAGACAGCTCTGTTTCTATAGGCTTACATAACTAAACCATTGTTGTCTAAAGTTACTCTCAACCCACAGCCTGTCAGAAAGTTTTAACACCCGATAAAAGTGTTTTTTCTTGTGTCTGTTGCTGGGTTTAGGACCTAAAGTGCGTCAGATGTGAGGCAGGTTGTGACGTGATGAGAGCACTACCTGAGCTCCTGAGGTAAAAAGTAGGGTGCACTTGTTAAATTTAGGTGGATAAATTCACTGTCCAACGAGTAGGACGCACAAAAGTGGTTCACGGGAAAATGTGCTGCTGAGGTTTTTCAGTCTTTATGTCAACCTCTCCTTCCTTGGCTCTCTTTCTTTGTCTTGACACAGTTTTCCTTCCACCTTCTCCCCCATCACCTATCCATCTGTCAGTTCCTCTTTGCCTCAGTACAGATTTTGGATTGTGGCCTTAGCTGCAAGACATCCAACTGCACGCATGGACAGCACTTTATTTGGCCACAGGCAAAAAAAACCACAAAAAACTTCAGCTGAGGTCACCTCACCTGCCCACACACTTTTCTATTTATATTTATGCACACTATATCAACAACGACATTACAGCACCAACTTTTTACTTTCAGGTGTTGTAAAAAACTGTGTTTGTCAGTAAGGCTGTAGTTTGATATGTAAAGACAGGTAAGTCAGATAAAGTTCTTACAGCTGTGCGTTTTGTTTCACAACAAAGCTCTCATTTTGTTATTTAGTCCTGCAGCTCTTTACTTTTCTCGCTCCTTAACCCTTTAAAGCCGGTCAGAGCGGACACGCTCTGTTTTGCGTAACTATTTTTAAATCCCGGTAGCTCTGCAACCACGTAAGCTAGCGCAATA